GAAAATGGCACCTGACGCATCGAGTTCATTTTATGCTTCTTACACACCTTTTGCCTGACGATCGGTCTCAGGCGGCGGGTTGCTCCCGCCCGTTCGTATCCGATAAATTGGCTCGGATAAAGCGAGGAATGCTTGATGAAAGCATTCAGGCAAGCTCCACTGCGATGGCTTGTATCAACATTGCCTGACGAGAGGTCTCAGGCGGTGCCTCGCAAGCACCTCCATTACGACGTCTGACGAGCGGCTCAGACAGTGCTTATGCACATTTGAACTTCAAGTCCTGGTTTTTCTCAGGCCGTGCTTCACGCATGTTTTACAGGGGTCTGAGATGCGGCTCAGACAGCAGCCCATGCTATCAGGAATTAATTCATTGACCAAGTTAAGTTATTTATGAAGAGTCGGAACTTACAATCCCCCCTTTCTTGCCATTTTGTTTCGTGTGTTTAAATATTACAGAGCGCTATTACCAACGGGAGGACGTTGCAGCATGCCAAATCAGTGGAAATAAGAAGGAAGTCTACAGAATGAACTTTCACCAAATTGGGTTCTATTTAATTTTACAATATTCTCATTACAGCTTATTATATCACTTAAATAAATCATAAAAGAAAGCGATTGCTCGTCGCCGTTGTTTTGTTGCGCCTCCTGTTCGAGTCCCATCGGCCTACTTCCCATCTTAATATTCTTAGACGAACAACTATAAATAAATCACAAGGGCAAACTTTCGAAAAAGTTGCAGTAGGTCTTCGAAAAAATATTTTTAATCATGGTCAATTATACGTTGCATTATCAAGAGTACGTTCTTGGGATTCGTTAAAAGTTTATTTAGGAGAAAACTTCATCTCAATGAAGTAAAAAATTACGTTTACAAAGAAGTACTCGAATAATGATATACGGATAAGTGTTAAATAATGAAATAATTTTACAATGATATCTCTAAAATTTGATTAGATATTGATTAAAAAATAATTGTGTATAATAGAACTATTAAAATAATTATAAAAGATACTTAAATTAATTGCTCGAATATTAAATATTTTTGTAATACTATTGTTATTATTTTTAATTATTCTAATAAATATATTATAATGTTCTAAGAGAAAGTATAATAAATAATTAATGATAGTAAAAAAACGAGTGTTAAAATATAAAAATATAAAAATCCTCACCGCCGAAAGAATCTTTTAAAGTAGCACCTCCTTTTATCTAAACATTATGCTTTAGTAATTATTTTAAAGGAAAAGAAGGTCCCTACATAAATCTTATGGAAATTGAATTTCAGTCGAATTGACTGAAAATTTAATATATTGTAGATCTTATTGCTTTGATAAAAATCTTCATAGGTACTACCATCTGTAATGAACCATTTCACTTCTACGAAACGTTATTTTTCAAAAGATATTTTTCAACGAGATAACATTACAATATTGTATTTTTAACGAGTACGATGTATTTCTACGTTATTATTTGCACTTTCTATGTATATTTTTAAGTAAAAAGTTATAAGGATAATATTGATTTGATTGTTTCTCATATATTAGTCTCACAAATCAGGCTTGATTATTATGAGTCTCCTCACCTCTAAAATCCAAAATTCCGCATCTTGGATATGAAGTCCGCAAAACATAGCGTTGACTCAGGAATCAAATTATCGACCTTAATACCTTTATAGCTTTTTCATAAGAAGCAATCAAGTCAGTATTATACTTATAACTTTTTTTATTTCAAAATATAGGTACATAAAAAAGTAAATAATGACGTAGGAATACACCATACTTGTTGAAAATGAGATATTATAGTATTAACTCGTTTCGAAAAATAATACCTCGTAGAGGTCAAATGGTTCGTTATAGAGAGTATCGTACCTATAGAATCTTTTTATCAAATAAGATATACAATATATCAAATTTTCAATCAATTTGATCGAAATTTAATTTCCATAAGATTTGTGAGGGGTCCATTGTATACAATCACAGAGATATAATGATTTAATGACAATCCAATATTTTTTGGATGTAATACGTGACGATGTTAAAGAATTTGTTTGAATAAAATCTTTTAACAAAGGACAATTTTAAATATCTAAGTTTTTGCTCAATATTTTCAATGTCTAACGTAAAATTATATACTACAATTTCTATCTTCTTAAACAGTAAAAACGAAAAAAATATTAACTATTATAATTATAAACATATTACAATTTCTATCTCCTTAAACAGTAAAAACAAAAAAATATTAACTATTATAATTATAGATAATTTGAACATCAAGTAAAACAATACGTCAATAAAAAGCATTGTCTACTTATTTATCATGAATAAGATTGATAGATCTTATTCATGATAAATAATAGATCACCATTGGTGATCTAATTTAATTCCTGTGTATTCACAGATGATGATCAAAATTAAAACTGTTAAGTGGACTTTAGTGAATGATATAATATATTCCAAAGTCCACTAATAAAAGGGAATAGGAGTTCTATCTAGATCTTTCCTAGCGCCTTCCTCCTTATTGAGAAAAGTATAGAAAATAAAGTTTCGAATCAAAAAATAAATTAATTTGGATGTAATTATTCTCTTTTTCAAGAGAAGTAAAACATTTCAAAGGAACGCGCAGGAAATGATAGGGAAATGGCTCTCAGTCGAATGTCTTGAAATTGGGGCAAATGATAGTTCAGATCATGTAGATCAAAAGTGTCAATGGGCCCAAAGTCCCAAAATGGATAGTTTTCGAATTACAGCCATTTGAAACTGACAATTTTCGCAAATTGCAGAATGGTGATCCTCGACTCTTGGATCGAGCGCACCTCATTCTAAGTGAAGTACGGCCAAGGAAAGATATATAATCTGTCATTATATATAATCTATATACAACTGTATTAAGTTATATATAACTATATAGAGTCGATATATAACTATATGTAATTGGTATATAATTACATAATAATTAGTATATTAATAAATATATATAGAATTTTATTTACCTATTGTTACAACTATACGCAACTAAGTATGGTTTGCACACACACACGCGCACACACACGCACACACACTCACATGTATACAGGATGAAGACAATATATGGAAACCCCTGAAAAATAATAAAGATTTGAATAGAAACCAAAGTTAACCAAATAGAAACCAAAGTTTTTAAGGTGGATTCCGAACCACCCGGTTCGAATTCAACCTCCGACATGATACGCTATTTTCAATGTTTACAAACAGCGCGGCTCATCTTACAATATTGCGAACCGCTGTTTTGAAAATTAGAAACAGCGATCGAGTCGGGCTCGAACTGGTTAGCATCTGGCTTCTCTCGTTTGTCTCTGACCCTGCTAGCCACTGGGGTTGGATACCCAATCTTTAGCAGGGTTGCTCAGAGTCCAGGGCTCACCGGCTTTTAAAAAGCACTCGAGGAGGTGAGAGTAAGCGCTTGGGAAGAGAGGTTAAGGCGCAAGCGCGCTGTATTCGCATCATTCCCTTTGAGCCCTTTTTATTTTTTTTATTTTTTTTTACTTTTTTATTTTTTTTACTTTTTTATTTTTTCTTACTTTTTTTTGCTTTTTCTTTGCTTTAAAAAAAATAATTTAATTATTATTGTTCTTAAACCAAGATTTTTTAGAGCATCTGTGATGCATGAAAACTATATCTTAGACATTTGGAATCAATCCCTAATGCTTGAACTTTATTTTCTGATTCGAAGGATACTTTTAGATGATCTTTGGTGCATAAAAATTATCTTTTTTATTTAGTATTGACGACTAATGTTTACCAATCATAAACTACCCATAAAACGAAGGTATGACCATTGGTGAACCCAACCATCAAAGGCGAGGCCATATGTTGACCCAACTAGTGAAGGTAAGATCAAATGACGACCTACCCAATGAAGGCAGGGCCACGGGATGACCCAACCAATTAAGGTAAGATCTAATGACGACCCAGCCAATGAAGACAAGATCATGCGATGACCTAACCAATGAAGGTAAGTTTTGTTGATGGCCTAACTAATGGTCATGCTGTAGTTGTCTTCTTTACGTGTTTTATTTATTCAATATTTTCTGGTACATGATTTAAATTTGGTGGGAGAGGTCTATCAGCTGCATCAAGAATTTCGTAGAGCAGGTCTATTGGCGGATATCTAACGTTCTGCTGGTATCTATAACAGCGGTATCTATATAGCAAATCCAAGGTACCAAAGGATGCTTGCGATATGTGCACATGTACCCAATGTTCTTGCTCCGGTTTTGCAGGTACAGTAGTAGCCAAGAATTGAATTTTCTTCCTGTAACTGATTTTCTTCGTTTGGATTGTACGAAATGAACTGGTGGTGAGAAGCGGCGTTACGGAATCGCGAAAATAATCTAAACCGTGCAAAACCTTGTTCCTGAGCTCGTAAATCTACCTCGAAAACATTGTTTTGTCGAAGCAAAGAATCCTGTATGTAGGATGGTGCCAAGAAAAGTTGATAAACTCCTAGTGTTAAATCTTGTAGATAATTCAGAGTTAAATGAGGGAAATCTACCAATTGATTTTGGTCGATTCTTTCCCATTCCGTCTGTCGTCTTCGCTGCAAATTCTCCGCTGCAACTCTTGCCTGAACTTCATTTACCTCTTGTGATCTTGCAAGAATTCTTCTAGCTGCTTCTGCATCACAACCATCCATATGAATTGGTTGATGATACCTGTTTATAATAGCGCCTACAATGCGATAAAAGTCACCAATATGGGGTGCATGAGGTATTCTTACCACTTGAGCCAAAAACTTAAAGATCGACTTAATATAGCCGTTTCGCGCTTCTACAATCCATCTTGTTTTGGTTATGACTCTTGTTTGATTAGCTTGCTCTGTAGTTAATTGACTTTGACCATGCTCTAGGGGTTCTGGCATATAGTAACGTATGTCAAGACTAGTAGATCAAGTGCGTCTCTAAATCCGCGATCAATGATCAAAATGTCATTTGCTTGAAACCAGTTTTTCATTTCAAACACATCATTTTAAAGTTGGTCTCGCAACAGAGCAGCATCATTATTTCGGCTGTCTGAAAAATAAGGGCCCTGAATGTCGAGAATGTAACCATCGGGTGCGACAACCAATACGAGTTTTATCAAATAACGACCTTTATGTAAAGAAAACGATTGTCTTAACACCCGAAAGTTACTACTTTCCTCAATATAAGAATATGTACCATCGACATATCCAATAGCTTCCGGTACATTTGGATCCAGATTGTACAGAACATTGGCGAAATCGGTCACATGTTGCTGTATGTAGGCATCTCTAGTGATTGATTGAAACCCAATATTTTCTTTTACAAATCTTAATAATAATGATTTTCTTACTTTATCTATCACGTAACTAACTACCTGGCGACTAGAGTATTTGAAGATAACTTCCAAAGCATTATCACTAATACCATGCCTCATTTTAGTTAAGAAAAGCAAAAGATTATTTTTTGTAATATATTCAAAACCTACCTGTACAGGTATTCTATCACAAAAAGAAAAAAGGTCTCGAAACTGCTCCTTCGTTAATGAAGTCATAGCGTGAAACTCTTCATCATCAAAGTCTTCTTCATCCTCGTATTTCGAAGATGATAAAGCATTGTTTCGGAGTTCGTTAATGAATTCTTGCAGTTCTTGTCCTTTTATAACATATGGCCGATTGATCGACCTCAATCCGGCATGTAACGGTTGTAAAAGAAACCCTCTCCCATCTAAATGAATTCTGCAAGATCTTACATTATTAGGAATATAAATATTCGACGTAATGAAAATATTCACACGAGCCTTCATACAAAGCCTTTCCACATTGTCTTCCTGATCACAAATTAAACAAGATGCACTTCGAGTTTGTGTCAGGACATTTAGCCTCATGTGTCTTTCATCTTGCAAAATTAGATCAATTTCCTCAAGAATCGAAATATTACAATTCATGCACAATCTTGTTTGATCGTTCACTTCCAAAGCTGGAAGTCCAGCATTATCACGACGCAAGATTGCAATATCTCGTTTAGCATCATTATTCTCGCCATCGATTCGCCTCATAAGCCTCGGTTGATAACGATTATTACACACAAAGCAGGTAAGTAAATTGCGAAACGCCATGACGCTAAAGTAAAATAATTGACTAAGGAGTTTAGCAAAAATGGCTGTGTACAAAAGGAACAGAACTTAAAAGAATGTAATTGACAAGACAAAATAAATTACAATCAGAGCAATATTATAATTGAAAAAGAAACTATTCATGGACAAAAACTGCTAGGTTGCACTGCGTTAAATT